ACCAGGAGGGTGTTCCTTGGAGAAGTGACTGTTCCTCTGGCCACATGGGACTTTGAAGACAGAGCAACACAGTCCTTCCGCTGGTATCCGCTCCGGGCCAAGGTGAGGCCTGTTTGGGACCAAGTGTCCAGCATGGCCACTGTGAACTCATTTGCCAGAGGATAAACCCCGGTGCTCCCTGCACCCCCCACTCCTCTATTGTCAGCTTTCGAGGCCTGGAGCATCTCTGTGCCAGTACCTGGCACAAGGGCCTGGCATAAGGCCGCCAAGGTTGTCAAACCGAACCTTTGACAAGCAAGCCAGGAGCAGAGCGCCAAGCTCAAAGGTCCTCCTGATGCCAGCTAGTGGGTTGCGACCCCATGCTGCATGTTGAATGCCTACTCACAGGCCTGTCCCCAGGGCTCCAGCAGGAGGGGCCCTAGGGGTGGCGCCTGGTTCTATCCTGAGTGTGGCAGAGGTCACAGCAGGGGCCAGGAAGAGATGCTTCGGCATCGAGGAGGCTAGCCCACACCGTCCCAGGAGTCCTGAGCCCTCTCTGATACCATGGGGGCTGCTGCTTCTGCTGGTGGGATGGGCTAGGCACGTGGATCCCTCCCAGGACACTTCTCCGGCCCCGGGTGAAAGATTTCAGGACCACCTCTGCTCTGGGCACTTCTCTCACTCTGGAGAAATCACTCGTGACCAGAGAAGCCATCTCTGTAGGCAGGGTATTGTCCTCGGCAGGGGTCAGGACAATGTGGCACCCACTGCCTCTTGGGTCGAGTCTGCTCAGGGCTCCTCTGTCTCCAGTGCCTGCAGCTGACCTTGGCATGGAAAGGTGGCCTGGAACCTCACTGTCCTGGGTAGAATTGCTGGGGAGGGACGCTATTTTATTTACCTTTTTCAAATTCAGGTTGTATCCAGGTTTTATTACGACTGTCCTTTTGTTCCCATGGGCCTGTTTCCTCAGGCACATCTGCCTCTGGTTTTTCTGGGGAGGCAAAGTTGTTCTCCCCAGCCTGGGAGAGGAGAGGGTGGCAGGACAAGTCCCTGCTGATGGGGGACGACCAGTCCACCAGGGACGTGCCCAATCCATCCCTGGGCTCTCCTGGGCTGGAGAGGCTTTGCAGAGGTGGTGGGGGACATCTAGAGTCAGAGCTGAGGCAGCCAGAGGAGGGAGGAAGGTTCTGGGAGAAATTGTCTCAAGCTCTGCCTTTGCACCCCCAGAATGAGCAATATGAAGACAGCATTCCTCAGAATAATGGAGAACTTGCTGTTCGGGCCAAACTGGTTCTCCCTGTAGGGCCCAGAAAGTCCCAGGAAGCTCTAGAAGGTAGGTGGCCAGCCCCTTGAGCACTCCTCTGTCACTGTCCCCAAAGCCTGGAAGGTGTCATGCTGAGAGGTGGGCAAAAGGCTTTCTAGCATTTCCTACCCACTGCACACTGACACCCACATGTCCCAGAGACTGAGAGGCAGAAGCACCCTGGGAAGGTGTTCCCTGGAACCTGTGGCCTACAGGGGACGTGGGTGACCAAAGCAGGCAAGGCCTTCAGTGTCCACTTTCACTGTCTCCAAGGCGTCCCTCCCAACGGGTAGACTGGACAGGGTCTGGTGAAACCATGTCCCCTCTGGAAGAAGGTACACCTGACAACATGTGTCATAAGTTAGGAGTTTGACTTTAGGAGCCAAGAGCAATTGTCAGGTGCTGGTACCTGCAGGTCTCAGAGGGGCGACTGCTGCCCGTGAGTGATGTGGATCAAGGACAGGTCCTGCAGGGCCTTTAGGAAGTTGAACTTGTGAGACCCCGAGGGTGGGCAAAGTAGACAGGGATGATGCATATTTCCATTGAGTAGTGACTGTTTGGTGGGAAGAAGAGCCTCTGAGCTCATGAGACCACCAGCAGACCAGTGGCAGGTACCCTATGGTCACCTCTAACTCCCTGAAATGGGTTTGGGGCTCCCAGTTTCCCCAAACCTACTGGCAACAGCCAGACTAAAACCTCCGCATCTCTCCCTAGAAGCCAGTGTACTCTCAGAGCTTTGCCTCGCTGGGGGTTTAGCAGTCCCGTCCCTGTGCGGACCACTCAGCGTGTGGCCAGGGCTAGCAGAGCCCTCTGGGGGAAATGTGCCTCTTCCTGCCTGCTCTTCCCGGCCTGGAGTCTGTAACACTCCTCTTACTGAGCTCAGTTTGGGGGCGGTAGGACTGCAATGCCTCTGGAGAAGTGGGTTGGACAGTGGGAACTGGCTTTCTTCCAGGGACAGATCAGCCATCACTTAATGGTCAACTCTGTTTGGTAGTGCTGGGCGCCAAGAACTTACCTGTGCGGTCGGATGGTACCTTAAACTCATTTGTTAAAGGGTAAGTATTCGATGCAACCAGATACTGTTTACTGGTTATCTAGAATACAAACAGTATGTTCCTAGAACCTGGACGAAACATCAGAAATGTAAGCCATTTTAAAGTCTTCTTACTTCAACTTTCCTATAGCAAACACGAAGGGCCCGGATTTCCACAAATCCAGGGGATGTGGGCAAGCTGAGACCTATTTGGGATAGTACATTTTGACCTGAAACCCAAATCTTGTCAGTTCTTGTTATATCAGAAAATCAGTTTCGATTGAAATCAAGTATGAGAAGAAAGAAGTGTGTTCAGCAGATACTTCCTTGGTTTAACACCGCCTCTTGGATTAACTGTCGCACGGGTGACTTTCCACACTTAAGTCACTGCAGGTGCGCTGGTGCCTCTAAAAGCAAACACCACTGAATGTTATATTGAAATGCTAAATCCCCAGTCACAGACAGGGTGGAAACATGAAGGCCTCCTTGTCCAGACAGAACCGAGCCTGGGTCCTGATCTTATTACTTCCGTGCATGTCCTTGGGCAAGATAGGTAGCCTTCCTGAATGTGTTTTGCTGACAACAGTATACAATGAGTCACATGTATACAGAGCCATGGTCCCTGGGCGGCACTTCTAATAAGCCATGCCTTCGAAGGGCTGTAAGGAGATTACGGTGAGGGCCATGTGGCCTCAGAATTCCAATTTACCCTTAATACCTACACGGAATCCAGCTGAAAAAGAAACCTGGAAAATCCTAGTGAGGTCGTGCGGCCAGGTCCTGTGATTCCCACGCTCACTGGGTTAGTGCTCAGGCTGGAAGCAGCGCTTGCGGTGTAGGCTGCGGTGAGGCCCCAGTGTCCCGATCGATCGTAGCATCTTGTTTCTCTCCTTAGCTGTCTCACTCTGCCAGACCAACAAAAGCTGCGACTGAGGTCCCCCGTGCTGAAGAAGCAAGCTCACCCCCAGTGGAAACACTCCTTTGTGTTCAATGGCGTCAGCAGGTCTCAGCTGAGGCAGTCGAGCCTGGAACTGACTGTCTGGGACCAGGCCATCTTTGGAATGAGCGACCGCTTGCTGGGGGGAGCCAGACTTGGTTCAAGTAAGTCTGCCTGATTCCCCATGGGCCCAGACTGTCTCCCAGTGTTTTATTAAGTACTTAGCGAGTGTCCTACGTGGGTACCATGAAGAGAGAAAATACTTACACAATGGCAGCGATTTAACTGGCTGTAGGTAGCACTGCCTACCTGCCAAAAATAGAAATTCCTAAGTCTAGGCCTAACTCTACCAGGGAGTGATAATACAGCCAAGTATTTTGACAATTTAAATCAGATTTAGATCTGCTAAAGAAACTAAGTTCTGGGCCTCAAAACAGGCCAGGCACAGTATTTGCTTTTGTTTCTATTGTCAATCATAAGAGGATTATTTTCTTAAAGGAAAACATCTTAACCCAAACAAATGGCAATTCAGAAAGTGCTTCATTGAGAGTGAGACAAACAGGGACACTATTCAGTCTTGCTCACAGGGGAGCTGCTGGCACTGTGCTTGTGGGCAGCCCTTGTCTGGGAGGATTCTGTGCCCCACCCCGCCTGCAGGTTGCCAGCAGCGCCCTCCACCCAGTGCCAACCCCAAACGCCTGCACACAGCTCTAACAACATCCAGCTGAGAACTACAGATAAGTAAGAATGATTTTTCTAAGGGACGCTGTCCAAAGCACAGCTCTCCTCTAGGGAACCCCTTCCGTCAACAGATCCAGCCCCTGCCATACACAGTCCCCGTATCAGGATATTGATTCCTCACAGTGAAGAATCAGCCACCAAACCAGAACCGTCCTCCCCTAAGACCCCGGAAAGGAACTGGAGGTCAGGGCCTCTGCTCCAAGGCTGCAGCACATCCTGCACTCACATGTCTTTGGGGGAGTCTCAGACCCAGCAGTGGTTGGCATTTTCATAGTCTCCAGTTAATGCCAAAAACCCACTTTTCTTGATGGGCCTTGTTTTTAAAAAGCTGGGAAGGATGAAGTGGCGTGCTCATCAACCATTAACTAACGTGTCTGTCTCACGTCAGAGGGGGATACAGCTGGTGCAGATTCATGTGCACAATCAAGGCTGCAATGGCAGAAGGTTCTCTCCAGCCCCAACTTATGGACGGACATGACGCTCATCCTGCACTGAAGTGAAGGCCTCGGAGCTCCAGGCTATGCTGGATGTGCCGAAGCCTGGAGCCTGCAGAAGCCACAGGCTGACCGTGGATGGATGGGCCCTCTGGACGGTGCAGCCTCCCCTGGTTGTTCTGTTATGTCCCTCATGTCTTGTGTACTTAACAGAGCAGTTACACATGTCACCTAAGTCTCAGATGGGTTCCTAGCTGTTCTCTGAGAGAGGTGGAAAATGGCCATATTTCAATAAATGTTTGGCAGTTACCCCGTCTCTCAGAGCTTGGCAAATAGTGAAAAAAATCACAGCTTTTCTGCACATTTCAGAGGAAAAACGAGCCTGGTGAGTATCCGATGCTCCCTCCCCTCCTGTGGCAGAGCAGGTCAGCCGGCCACAGGGACTGCCAGGTCAAACTCCTGAGGGGCCTGCAGGGCTTGGGGCCTCCCACACGGCACAGCTACTGGATGGTGTGGACCCAGGTGAGTCCCTGGAGCTCCTCCCACCCACGCATGAGCAGACCACACTGTGCACACCGCCTTGGACAACTTTTATTTTGTGTCTGCAGTGTGGAATTTGTTGGCATGAGACAACCAAAAAGGACAACCCGCAGAGAAGGGCCAGGAGTGAGCCCAGCCAACAGCTCGTGAAAGCCACTGTGTCGATAGGTTTTGAGGACATAGCAGAGAATAGAAATTGATCAGAAAGAGGTTTTCATGATGACAGAGTCCCTTCATGGTTGGAGTCTGAACAATCTTAGAAAATTGAAGTGTGCAGTTATGTGCACAAAGAATTCCATAAGACATTTTTACACTGCAATTACAGCAGGTAATCAGTTTCATTACTGCCCTCACGTCACATCAGTTCCAGGGCCGTGGTTACATGGTTTTTTTGATATGTAATTATTTTATTCTGTAAAAGGTAACAAAATATACAGAACAAAACTTTCCCTTTTTAAAACTAATGTTACAAACCCATATTATCACATATATAAATACTATATTCTATAGCTGATCATTAATTAAGAATATAAGTCCAACAGTGTATTCTAACTGTTAAGCAAAAAAAAAAAAAAAACTTTACCGGAGAGTCCTCCTGTACCGTTCATTCTGAATGACCACTGCAGATTTTTGCCAGCAGAACTGAATGTCTGGAGAAAGGAAATCACTGTGTGGAGAGTGCTTTTAGACTCAATTTTCAAAATAATTGTCACTCCTCAACAAAAATATACAGAGATGGACCCTTCACAGAAATCAAGAACAAATCAATTTTGAGTTCATTTCAAAAACAGAAAAAGTATGGCACAGATGTAAGCCACGGTGTGGTTTTCTTTAATGATACTGCACCTTGGATCACACAGGCCAGCATGAAGTTTGTCACTCAGACTTTACAGGAATCTTTCCTTAATTCCATCAGTCCTGCTTCAAGCATAAAACAGGAAGTGATTCAATAATTCTCATAAAAATCAGGCCTGTTTGGCACTAGCATACAATTGGGAAGAACAAACCAGAGAGGCTTCTGCTGGGGAACCGCTCTTTTTATAAGGGACCTGGAACATGTTGAGGGGCTTCTAGATTTAGAGTACTAAAGAGCCAAGCGTGACGTGTCTGCCCGGGACCCTCAGGCCCGGCCTTTACATGGCCTCGAACTCGTCGATCCGCTGCTTCGTGTTGCCCTGCCGGATCTGCCGCAGGGTCTTGTACTTGTCCCGGCCCTGCCGCATGTTCTCGTTGTGGATGATGTCGTTGTGGGTCCTCTTGTTCTCATCTCTGGCCTGGGACAACTCGTTGCTCAGAGTCTGCAACGTGAAGCGGCAGCAGTCAGCACCTGCCCTCCCTGGGACACCACCGAGTGGCTGGGCATGCAGACCCCTCCCCTGGGAAAGGGAGAGGTTGCCGGGTGGAGAGGACCCCTGTGGTGGCCCGGTTTAAAAGCCACCGGCCCAGGTGAAAGCAAAGCAGGCCCCGCCCCTGCTCACCAGCAGCTGCCGCTGCACGCGCTCGTTCTTCTCGGCCTCGGTGATGCGCTTCTCCTCGTTGCGGTCGTCCAGGATGCCCTCGCTGCAGAGCTCGGCGCTGTAGCCCATGGGCTCCGCGCCCTCCTCCTGCGGGCTCTCCTGCACGTGGTAGCTCACGGGCTCGTACACCGGGGGCGGCGGGGGCGGCGGCGCGGTCATCACCAGGTGCAGCTCCTCCTTGGTCTTCACCAGGTCGTCCTGGGCTTCTTTGGCCTTTGGAAAGCAAATAAATAGGTGGGAGCTCCTCCCCCAGGTCCCTGTGCTGGCACTACTTTAAGAAGCAGGCGTGGTCTCCTCGTGGGGAGCACAAGAATTCCGTCCCCCGCTCCTGGGAGCTAAAACAGTACAGCCCCAGCACGGCTCCGCAGAAGTGGGCTGCTCTCCCTGTCCTTATCACTTCCACGGCACAGGCGACACCGTGCCAGAGGCTGGGTGTTTCTTTTTTAAAAATACTTATTTCTGAGTGGTAGTTGGACACAATACCTTTATTTTGTTTGTTTACTTTATGTGGTGCTGAGGATCAAACCCAGGACCTCACACGTGCCAGGCAAGTGCTCTACTGCTGAGCCACAACCCCAGCCCCAGCTGGACGTTTCTTAAAGAACCCTTCCTTGTTCTCTATATGACCCTATTATACACCTACTGTGTATATATATTCGGAAACAACAAGTCTTTCACATCCCAGAGAGCAGCACACACAACACCGGTGTGAATTACTGCTCTCCTTGTGGGCTACATTTATTGACACCTTCCTACCATTACCCCGAGTCCACCCAACATCTTCACAGGACACATATGCCCAGCCCTGCCTCCAAGTGCTTCCTGGGGGTGAGCTCAGTCTGCCTTGTTCTGTCACCAGCTTTTCTCACTTAATACTTTATAATGACCACCTTCTCCCAAAAACCTAAAGAGCCTTCTGTGTGTAGCAGGTGGAAAACACGCCGGGCAGCCAGGGAGGCTAGTTACAAGTGACCCAGGAGGGCAGTCCTAGAGACAAACAGGTGGGAGGATGAAGGGGAGGGGGCCTCCCAAAGCTTGGTGTTAAGTCCATGACATGAACCACACCTAGACCCTGTGCTGTCCTGGAGGGCACAGAGGACCACAGGTGGAGGACAGGCTCTGCAAGGTCTCATGATTGCAATTAGAGCTCATCAAACCCGTGCAGGGTCCATAGTGAGAGCTCACAGGTGGGTCTCACCACCTACTGCCATAAGGAAAGTGAGGCTCAGAGGGGAGGCCATCCCCGCTTCCTGGCCAGGTGGCCACGCCGCTGAGCCTGGGCTCCCGCTCTGGTTTGGAGACCTCTGAGGTCCTTTTCACACACCCTCCAATAAATTCCAGGAGGTCTTATTTCTGTCACAGGGGCCCAAATAATTGGATTTAAAACTAGTTCCTGAGCAGGGGCGTCTGATCGTGGTGAGCAGAGGCGGGGCAGTGGTGGAGTGGACTAGCGGGTTGATCCAGCAGCTGCACACACTGGTGTACAGGCCGAGCCCGCTCCTGTGGATCTCTGCTTCAGCAGCACAGCAGGTGCTGGCCAAGGATGCAAAATGTCCCAGGAGCTTCTAATGCGACCCGGGGTCAAGCTGGACTCTCCTAACCCACTGCGGGCCACAACAGGCAGGATTCCGAGGCACAGACTCACCCGGTGCTGCCACTCCTCAACCTCGTCCTCCTTGCGCCTCCGCGCCTCCTCCAGGAGGGCGATCTTGGCAGTGTACTCGGCGAGCTCCGCAGCCTGGAAGGGAAGGCGGAGCCAAGCGGCTTCTGAAATCCTCTGAGCGTCCACTTGCCGACATTTACATGTGTTGGTGAAAGGCCTCTGCGGTGACACACTGCATCCCTCCCGCTCCCCGGGGTCAGCAGGGCTCATCCGAGCTGACCTGTGTCTGTGTGGGACTCCAGACACCCACGCTCAGGTCCACTTCCCTGACGGGGCACAGATGACAGCAAGTCCCTAGCCCCCTCCCCGGTGGCTGCTACACGCCTCCGGTAGATCCGATTACGGCCCCAGAGAAGAGCCATTACAAGGCAGGTGTCGCTTTTTCGATCCCCAGAAGCAGCCCCTCTATAATTCAGCATCCTGAAACCCAGGCAATCCCTACCAGCTGCTCCTGGCTCTTTATCTGATCGGCCGCCTGTCTCTCCAGCTCCTCCTTGGCCCTGAGCGCAGCCACGCGGTCAGCCTCCAGTCGCTCCGCCTCCTCCTGGGCCCGCTTCCTTTCGTCCTCCAGCTGGAGGGCTCTCTGGATCTGGTCATTGAGTTCTGCAGGGAATACGAACCAGAGCGGTTCCAACCCCAGGCCAGGGACCAGAGTCCTACTCGAAGCCATTCCCAGGACCACGGGCCCGGGATGAGTCACAGGTGGCCAGCTGTCCCCTGGGAGGTCTCAGGCTCACTCCATCATGTTTCCACACAACTTCCTCCAGACAGTTAGAAACCACTGCCGAGAGGTCAGACACCGGCCCGGCTGGGTCCGACCCTTGTGCCCTGTGGCACCACGATCCTGTCTCACCGCCTCGGCACTCGCTGTAACAGCCAATTCCCCGCCGGTCCTTCCAGGCTGCCAGCGAACACAGCCATCTCCCTGCCACACCAAGAGCCCTCCAGGGCAGGGCTGGTCAGGAGCCTGGGGGACTATCACAGCCAAGCTGTGTTCTGAGCCACCGGGCTGTGCTGAGGGGTCTGGCCTTCACAGGTGGCCTTGGTGGAGTCAAGAGGCTGGGAGCAGTGCAGCATGGCTCTGCCACGCCCAGGCTGCCACCAAAGGCTGACAGTGTCCTCATCTCGAGGGACTTTGGGAAAATTAAAACCACCAGCACAGGAGGGAACCAAGTGGGTCGTTTCTCTGATCAGGCTGTTTTGGGGTACCATGTTAAACTGAGACACTCTGGAAGGCTCCCCCCAGCTGTGTGCGGGGACCCTGCCTGCCTCTGCGGGGACAGCTAGCCTGGGCAGTCAGGGCGCCAGCCGACCTTTCTCGGCCCTCCTGGTCTTCTGCTCATAGTCCTGCAGGCGCAGCATCAGCTCCTCCTTCTCCCGCAGCATCTGCTCCTTCTCCCGCTCAACCGTCTCCCTCCTCTTCTTCTCCGTTTCCAGCTGCTGCCTGGTTGAGGGAGGGGAACAGGCACAGGAGCGTTAGGGCCCGCAGGCCCAGGCGGGCGAATGAGGCGGGCTTCCCATGCAGCTGCCAGCTGCTGTCTCGGGCACCGAGAGCAGGGGCGCAGCCGCCGTCAGGACGGTGTGTGAGAAGGCCGGGGAGCAGATCCCAGATCCCAGGGACGGCTCCCTGCGGCCCTCGGCCCTCAGCGCTAACGCTGGCTGGCACTGCCCAGGCCTGCACCAGGTTGTGCCACCAGGCTCTGCTGGCCACGGAGGGCATGGCCACGTGGGGGTCACCCGACAGGCACCATGTCCTGGCAGGCCAGCTGCGGAGCCATGCTCCCTGCCCCAAGACGCCGCTCACCGCTCCAACTGCTTCTGGTGCTTCTCCTCCCGCGCCTGAGCCTTCATCTGCTGCACCTCGATGGTGTCCGGCTTCCTGCGGCGCATGTACAGCTCGTGGTTCCCCATGCAGAGCTGCAGGATCCGCTTGTTGATTCTCAGCCGGGGGGCATAGAACACGAAGTCCTGCAAGACAGACGGGACAACGCGACTCACCAGCCACGCTTCATGAAGTCGTGGAACCTTTTCTAAAAGGACAAACACGACAGAAAGTAGGGCCCAGAAACGCACATTCCCAGTGCCAGGAACAAGTTCTCTGAAACAAGTAGAGGAGTGTGTCCCGTGCACCTGTGTACGCGTGTCTCTGCACACACACTGAACTCCCAGCCTGGGCAGCTACTCCAAGGAGAGGCCACTGCCATCTGTGCCCCACCTCTGGTGTCTGTCCTCTTCAATCCCACAGCTGCCGTCACCATGCGCCCTTACCCTTTCTTGCCTGGATGGCCTCAACGTTCCCTGAGTTTCCTGTGTCCTCTGCCACAGCCTTTGCCTCCCATTCTGTGAGCACGTGCGCCAGTCGCCACCCTGCCCTCCTCCAGGTTTCTAAGCGTGCACACGCCTCAGCCTCGCAGCACAACCCCCACAGGCAGCTGGGTGCATCTTTCATACCCGAGAGCCTCCTTCTGATCGCAGTGTCATCATCAGTTCCAACCCAAGAAGCCCGACTCTGCTGCTGTGCCTGCCCTACTGGGTGCAGGGGGCTCCCACAACATGCCATCACGTCACCCACTGACTCCTCCCGGATCCTGCTCCTGTTAGACCATCCACTCCCAGGAGCAGGGCTGGTGTCCCCGCCTCCCCCGGACCAAACCAGCACTCATGGTCCCTGGGGGTCAGCAAGCTCTGCTGCGGGGCAGCTGCCTGACGCACATAGCCACGCCTGAGCCCCACAACCTGAGCAGGCTACTGCATCCCCCAGCCTCAGCGTCAACACGAAATGGGGGGGATAGGGCCTAACGAACCCCCAAGAAGACCCAACCACTGTACAAGGGGACTTAGAATAGCATGTGGCACAATGAAAGTGGCTGACCCGCCAAGCGACCACTCTCCAATGCTCGGTGCCTCACATACCTGCTACCCTGCCAGGCTCCAGAGGGAGGGACAGAGGCCATCCCGGTTCCCGCTATGACTAAGGGGCCAGAGGAGGACAGAGTTTGGAAACTCTTACAGTAAGTATTTCAAATGCTCCGTCAGCATCCTCGGAGCCACAGGTCCCTGGCATTCAGATCCTGACCGTCTGGAACAGGGGAAGGGGTTGAAACCAAGCAGCACCATGACACGCCCCACAGTGACACCAGAGGCCTACGGAGCAAGCTGGACCAGCCAAGCAACACCCGAGAGGAGCTCAGTTAGTTCCTCGGTCCCTGGCTCCAGAAAACCTGGGTGAGAGGCAGAGGCCAAGCCCCAGAGCCCCTGAACTTCCTGGGTGGGGCTCCCCGGGGTTTCACACACTTGTTATTAAGTCATCGGGTTTCCCAGGGAGGAGTCCAGAGCTGGGAGAAGCAGGAATTTTTATTACCCACCTATCTCTTATTACACAAGAGAAAACAACCCTGCATTACGGCTTCCGAGGCACACTGCCCAAACGGATTCCTACTGAGACTCAGAAGTATTTGCAAAGAAACGCAGCAACAGCCACCCTTCAGAAAAAAAATCCACTGAAAGGATTCAAGGTCAGAGCTGCAGGTGAACCTGAGAACTCTCCCACCCGCCTTGGAGAAAGGTTCTGTAGCTGCTGAAACACACTCGGGCGTCTGCTGCCCAGCGGGTGAAGGGAGCGGGTGACAGGGAAGTCCTCCCACTGCCTTCGAAGGAAGCCAGTTGCTGACTTCCAGTGAAAAATAAAAAACCACACTTTAAGGTTTCTCAGTCCAAGTCCCTAGACCGGGCCTCCGGATGCAAAACCACAGCAGGCTTTCTCAACTGGCAGAGGGCTCACACCCTAAACAATGGAAACAGGCATGAGTGTGCCCGAAAAAAAAAAGGGATGCAAGACCTTCTGGATCCGACCAGGGAAAGGTGGTGGGGATAGAAGCCTTGACAGGACTTCCAGAAACTCTGCCAAGAGGCTAGTCTCCACTCTCTGGTGTGGCCCCAAGACCTAGGATGGGCAGGGGCGGGGCACCTGGTCAGTGGGGCTCCTGAAAGCACCAAGTGCAAGGCTGGGCGGGCATTTTTTTCTTTTTTGGGGACTGGTGCTTGAACCCAGGGGTGCTTAACCACTGAGCCACCTCCCTAGCCCTTTTCATTTTGAGACAGGTCTCACTAAGTTACTTAGGGCCTCGCTAAGTTTCTGAGATTGGCCTCAAACTTGCAGTCCTCCTGCCTCGCCTCCTGAGCTGCTGGAATTACAGGTGTGCACCTCACCTGGCTGGCTTGGGTGGGTGTCCTTTGCCACTTCAAGAGCTGTTAGCAGTGGCCCGAGAGCTGCAGGACAAGAGGCCCTGCTCTGGAGGAAGTGTGGATCCCTCCCCTCACAGGCCATGTGGGCAGGCTGGGCCCAAGCTCTGCCCCACTGCAGCTTGGCAGAAGGGAGAAGTTGGCTTATAGAAAGGAGCTGCCCGTGGTCCCTAAGGGCAGGCTTTGTGAGTTCCCTGCAGAAAATGCCAGGGTGAGGTCACACTAGACGAGGCCCGAGCCTCCTTGACCTTTGGGGTTTCTGCTCTCTTTTATGTAAAGGTTGAAATTTGAAAATTTGGCTTTGTTTTGCCCAAAGTGAAAGACTAAGGATAGGCAGCCCTGGTGGTGCAGAGGCTCCCAACGCCCCAGTGAGGTCTCCCCACCTGACCTGCCCTCCCCTCCGTCTCCATCTGCAGAGCTGTGTGACTTTTCCTCGTAGCTGCAGCTTATGATCTCCACCAGGAAGCCCAGCATCTGCCTGGCTTCACTCCTCTCTGCCCTGGAACCTGGCTTCACTCCTCTCTGCCCTGGAACCTGGCTTCACTGTGACGGCTGATGGCCTGGGTACCTGGCGCAGAGAGGGCTGCAGCAACAGGCCTTTCCCTTCTTTGTAACTGAGGCTTCACCGAGAGCAATTCTGTACTGAATCTACGTCGCCAACTAAACCAGATGCAAAGTTGTCCCCTCTGCTTGGTGTTTCATAACTATGTAATGTTCTTCAGCTTTTCAAAAGCTAAGCTTAGACCAAATTAAAAATGCACACACACCACACGCACGCGCGCGCGCTAAACACTGGAACGATCTAGCCTATTAAGAGCTTCTGCCCTGTCAGCTGAATTTCTAAATACCATGTTCTGGAAATCAGAAGTTCCCCACGGGGTAGGCAGCAATCTTCTGTGAAACTTCACAATTTTCTTGCTCTTCTACCTAAGCCAACCTCACAGCTAACGTGGGTACCCTCTGACCCTCAGCTGGTGAGGTTGCACGCTAGTGTGAACTGTTTCCATGGAGCCTGACAGTCTGTATTAAACACTGGTTTAATTTTAAAGAACTGCAAAGCTACCCACGGAGCGAGAGTCAAGAGTTTACAAACAGCAGGAAACATTTCAATAAGGAAGAAAATACTTTCACAATGTCAAGACCTGCTGATTTTAAATTACACTCGACTAAGTCCTACGTGGGGAACAGTAATTCGACAGTAACATGACGTGGAGAATTCCAAGTGGCTTGCCACTGCTAAGTGATGCCATTCCTGAGAAGCTCGACAGATGTCCCAGGCCTGGACCAGGACCCACGCCCACCTCTAAGCATAAAACTGACTAGGGAACAACAAGGACATGAGAACACAAAGTCCTGTCCAACCCATAATTTTAGTAAAATTCGGAGCAGGCTCTAAGGAGGGTAACAAATTTCTTCAAGTGGCTTTTTCTTTTTCTTTTTTTTAAGAATCAGATTTCTGATTAGCACATAAAATCTTTATCCCTATCCCCATATCCTGGCGAACAGCAATGCTTTGGGGATGTTTGGGATTTTAACTTGGGGACTCCAGGGGAGCTCTGAAAGCCACAATCTGGCCGTTCAGATGATAGTCACCACCTGCCCTCCAGCCGTACTGGGGAGAAGCCGATGAGAGCCCCCTCCCTAATGTCCACACCCAGTCTGCAGGCACTCTCTGCGGCAACACAGACATTTCACAAGCCAGGCGTGCCCAGACAGAAACCCAAGTTTGGGGGAAGTTTTCATCATTTATCAAAAGTTCACAATTCAGAACTGCCCTGTTCTCTGTAAGGAACAAAGAGAGTGAGAAAACTTAGGGGTTACAGGCGTCTAGCTTTTGGCAGACACCTTGTCTACACAGTAATCTCCAGCTGCAGTGGACAGCACTCAGCCCAGGATCCTGGCCCTCGGTGATAGGGAATTCTGAGCATCACTGCTCCTTGGCACACAGAGACATCTGGGTATTCTCCCGAGAACTCATTTTAGCTGTCAGAATGGCAAGCAGCAACCGGTGCACAATTCATGTGAACTTACAGGTGCTTTCTTGTCGATGGGCTTAATGACAAACTTCTTGTCATTGAAAGAGATGTTCCTGATTTCACTCCAGGGGAAACCAATCTTTGGCGTCAACCTGAGGTTAAAAACAGAAGAGGCAGGTGGTTAGAGGGCTGTGACTGTGGATCGTGGACTAGGAGAGGCTGGCCATCTAGTTTTGAAGTCTGTAAGTTGGGTTTTAGAAAGTACAAAGCTGGTTATGCCCCCATTTCTTTTAGTTTATCTCAGTTTTGGCATCAGAGTGGATCCACTCCCCAGGGCTGGGGGTCCTGCAGGCAGCTAGGGTCCTACCCAGGCCTCGCGGGCCTTTGTTTGACCTTCTCCCCACACCTCCATCCTACACGCCTCTCCTTCAGTCTGCTGGTGATTGATTCCCAGTGGACATTCCCACTGTCCACTACGTCAGCTCCACCCTATACTCGGCACCCCAGAGCCACCTGAGGCGAACTTTCAGCAAATGGTCCCTGGGCAGCCTCTGCCCCTCATAGCACAGTCTCTTCGCCACATAAATTCTTCTCTTTGCGTCTTGAAGCTACCGAGCTATTGCTTCACTTTATGAAACCAGCAGGCAGAGAGTCCCCCTGCTTTCCACACAAGCCGCCCGCAGAGCGCTGCCTGCTGATGGGAATGGGGCCTGGTGCGAGGTCTGCCTTAGGTTATCCTCCCAGTGAGACCCGTTCTCCTGGCTGGCCAGACACGGCCCTGTGTCACCCTCCAACTCCCAGGATGACCCGAGACTGCAGGAAAAGCCCCACGATGTCCTCAACCAACGCCACTCCGATGCTGACCCGAACGCCAGCTTTCTCATGGGCACTCCCAGAAAAGCCCACGGGTCTGAGGCCACAGTGGGCTGCCACTTGCCTCCCACCTCGCCCCCACTCAACAGTCACGGAAAATGCCGTTCTGGAAGGACAAGCCTAAGCCACCAAACACTGCAATCAAACCCTGTCCTTTCCCATAGTCCAACTTTCAGCAGAAATAGCAGGGGTGGGGAACGCTTCCTTGCTTGCCAAGACTGATGGTGACACAGGCCTTACTGTGGCAACATGAGCCAGGGCAAGGCAGCAGGTGGCCTCTGAGGGTGCAAGAGGCTCTGAGCTTGACGGGCAGTTTCGTGGGCACAGCAGTGGGGTGCACCTGCTGAGCAATGCAGGACACGGGCCACTGCTTTGCCCCCTGGTTTACCTGCCACGGCTTTCTGAGACACATCCTTGCCATGGCTGTCTCGGAAGCTCGTACAGCTGGCTAAGAGGTCTCAGAGCACACAGACATACAGAGAGCTTGTTCTGTTGTTTTATCGTCGCGGGTGGGATACAGAATTTTTCGAGGTGTAATTTCGTCTGTTTCAAGAGGAACTTGAGTTATGGCCTGGTCTTGCCACCGTCTTCAGCCACATCCGCCTTATGTGGAAAGGACACCAGGTGGCAGCTGCTGCCTTGCAGCCCTTTCCCCAGACCTGAGTGCAACATGCGGTGGCTGAGCAGAGCGCCAGGTGGCTGCTGCCCGCGCCACAGCCACAGGCCAGGCCACTCCCCAGCTCCTGGGACTCCGGCAGGCCAGCTCTGGTCTCTGGCTCCCATCTTTACACAGCTCTCAAAACAGCTTCTCGTCCTCAAAGACTTGAGTGGCAAGAGCTTAAGAGGCATCTGTCTTTCCAGGGGTTATGACTCACTTTTGAGTTGAGGAACTTCCTTTAATTCTCAACCACAGTTGGAAAATGAAAACCTACAAGGACTTCTTTTTCCTCTTTCTTAAGAGATCACATAAAGAACATGGACATGGTCCCCAGAAGACTGCTATGGGATTTATATCTTAAGTGTCCCTGCTGGGAAACACATTAAAAAAAAAAAAAAAAAAAAGGTGGGATTCCCCAAAACAGCTTAGAGGCTTTTGGAGCAATGGCCGTTTCCAGGGCTGGAGCATGAATATACGGATGAGCATGTGATGAGCATGGAGCACCTCGTGCCAGGAGGTAAGAAAGTACTCAGAGAACAATGAGGTCACAGGGAAAGGAACAGGCACCAACTCCAAGGGGCTCCCACAGTTCAAACCTCAAGCTATTTGAGCAATGAAATAAATACTACTACCAAGAGATCAAATGCAAAGATTAAAATAAGTATCCATGAGTTCATATCAATAGAAATAACTAAATAAAGGGCAAAGAGAAACTAGCTTCTCAGAATTCAGACTAATAGATATAAAGAGGTGCTTGTTAAGAATTACTGTTTCTCAAACACCACAATAATAATTATTTGATAGAAGTCTCACAGATGGATGCTGGAACAGACAACTATTTACGTAGTTTCACAGTATCTCCCTATAACACACTTGTCAGTTACAAAGACCAGGACAGAATCCACAGTGGAGAGACCTAGGAGACAACTTCGTGCCATGATCCGGGTCAGCACCAGGTCACAGGAGGCCCTGCAAGGCAGCACAGCACTTTGTGGGGTTCTCCCCAGAAGTGCAAGCCTCAAATTTAAACTGAGCAAACATCAGACAAATCCAAGTTGAGGGACTTGATAAACCATCACTGTCCAGGACTCTTCGAAAATATCACGGCCACGAGGAAGACCACAGACCCCGTCCTAGATCAAAGTAGACTAGGAGACAAGACGATTAAATGTTGGTGTGATGCAGCACAAGGTCCTGGGGCAGAAACCAACATTAGTCTAACAAAAGACTGGGATGGAAACAAGGTTTGGATCTAAATCAGATTTAAATCACATCAACTTCCTGGAACTGGAGACTATGGTTGCATATAATGTTGATATTTTGAGGAAGCTGGGTGAAGGGTATATGGGAATTCTCTGCTACTTTTTGAGCTTTAAAAAAGTATAAAATGATTTTTAAAGATGAAAAAATTAATAGTTAAAATTTTAAATTCAAAATCTGCAGCCGAGAGTGATGATATTCTATGCCTTGACACGATTTTGAATTTTACTGGCATGTTTATTTGTCAAAACTCAGCAAATGAGCACTGAAAACTACACTGTACTTGAATTTTACATCAAAATATATCAAGCTCTAGCAAGTGATCTGCACTTTCATTTTGGGGAAAGGGAGTAGATGCTGTGATTTACTTTGAGATGTGTCAACAGGAGGCCAGAGGGGTGGCTGCATATGGTGATGTGGAATCAGAGAGAGATGTGAGAGTTAAAGGCACAGACACTGCTTGCTCCTTTAGCCCCCAACATGTCCCAAGCCCCGCAGTGCCCACCTTCTCCTGGAGGGGATGGAGCCTGGAACCCAGCCAGTCTCAGAAACTCCCACCAACAGGTCCTCTCATGCACCAGGAAGCCTGGGGTGGGATGACACTGAGCGGGGACATGCTTTCAAATGTCTAAAGAATTTGGCAAAAGCATCAATGTCCTTCGGTTTCTGTGTCTGGTCTGAGTGCTGAATTCCAGCCCAGCTCCACCGGACTGCCTGTCTCAGAGTGGACACGTCTGTCCAGGATCAGGTTTCCTACTTTCCCCTCTTGTGCAGAGTTCAGGGTTTAAAGGAAACGGGAGGAGACAAATGCTTCCAGTCCTGGGTTCCCAATCAATGGCTACCTATACCACGTAAAAGGGACCCATCTAAGCCAATTTTAACACCAAAAAGGATAAAATAAAGATGTATTTGTTCATTTGCAGAATGCACTAAATCTTTTACAGCTCAATTTACACACTCAATCTTATCAGATTTCTCCCTAAACAATGTATCAAAAATATCTAATCTCACTGTGAGTCCTAGTGATAAAGAGGGCAGCTCAAACCCAGCAGCCAGAGCACTGAGTGGTCCTCAAACTTGGGTAGCCACAGCCCGCTTGTGCCACTAACCACGCTGTTGACGTCTGTAGAATGAAGTCAGCAGCAGGTCAGGAGGAGAAGGTAGGGGACGAAGGTGTCCAACATCCGGCCCTGACTTTGGGGAAAGAGGCCCACTTGAGAGCTGCCACTGTGCTGCTGAGCTGGGTGGGGGGCAAGAGCAGGACTGAGGGGGCACAAAGCTCAGACTTCACCTGGGAGAAATGAGCATTTCCGCGGGTTGGGCCGGTCACAAGCGGACATCAGCAAGTCCCTGCCTATGTCTGTTTCTTGCAGCTTGAAAAACCTGTCTGGACAGCCCTGGCCATGGCTCTGTTACAAAATCTAGCCATTCAAGGAACAAGTTCAAAGGCAGAGGCAGTTTCCCACGAGGACGCGAGGTTCTCTCTGGCTCTGTGCACGGCTGGTCGCAGCTGCGCTAACTGAGCCTGGCCTCCTTCACTCCTCTGTCCTTGTTTCTCTGCAACACTGTAGCCCGCACGCCCGGGAGCCAGCCACAAGCCTCAGTAGCTCTCCTCTGGGTTCCTGGGGTTGTGATGAATGCCGTCCATCTCTGTGGGTGCCAGTCCTCCCAGGGGACAGAGGCTGCCTTCACCCGTGCGCAGGCCACACTCGCACCAGGGCGCAGGCCCTGCTAGTGACATACACCTGTGCTCTGGCTGTGGCAGGAACACCCAGGGCTGGACTAGCCACCAACTATGTGCGTGTCATCTGTCCAAGGCAGTGCCCCTGCCCTCCCCTCAGCAACTCCACAGAGAAGGTTCTGGGGGATGTGAGGTCTGAGAACAGGACAGGGGTGAGCCACAGTGAGAGGCGAGGACAGCGTCACCTAAAGAGACAGCCTGCACCTGGGTGGGAACCGAGACGTGTGTCGCAAGACTCCAGCACACCCCGGGTCTGTGGGCCATTCTCTCACACACAGGCCATGGGCATGGAGACCCTGGAGCACCGCTGCCGGCCCCTCCTCGGCCAGAGCTGCAGCTGCCTTCCAGTTCCTGAGCCTGGTGCCACCACAGGGTCTGCTAAAGAGCCGTTCAGAGGAAGGAGGCTCAGGGGACACTCAGAGCAGGGACCCAAGGAGCCCCTCTCTGGTCTCCCAAGGGATTTCCTTCCATTCCTTAAATCCAGGAAGCTTCTGGACAGAAGCACCTAGAACCTCGGCTTGTTCTCTGAGCTCAGGGAACCACTCGCCCCACTGAAGTCTGATGCTTTCCTGTGTGTGCCAAGGCAGGGACCAGGAGCACCCGCAGCAACAGGAGGCCTTCTCCCTGCGCCAGGCAGCTCTCCTTACGCTGCTCTGCACTCGCAGACTTTGGGACTTTGCTGATAGACGATGAAAGTCCTGTGAACAATCAGACTCCTTCTGCAGGCGGAGAGGATCCAGCTCACGTTTGCACACACACAGGCTGTTGACAGAATTCTCCAGAGTCTGATTACAGTATGAAGTATTTCTGTTTAGATCAGCTCACATCTTGAGCCAGGGGTCCACCCAGGCCAGGGAGCAGGGGGAGAAGCCTGGGGTGTGCCGGGACCTTGCAAGGAGCTGGAGGGGCGTGTATTCCTGCAGCCACTGTCTCGCAGCGGGAAGAGACAGGCGCCCAGCCTCCCTGACACCTGTGCTGCTGGCAGACCACACAGGAGAGTGGTGGACGTGCACCTCTGGGCTGACCTTAGAAGGCCAAGCGCTGTCCAAAAGGCTTTAAAGCTTCACACTCCAGGCCAAGTGCTGAACGACTACTTCACAATCAACCCCCACAGAACCGCCATTTCCCACCTGCTTCCAGGTCCCCCCACCCCGGCCAGCTAAAGGCTTTACAAACTTCAACTCACTTATCATCTTTCTCATAAATATTTAGTCCAAGGGCATCGACTCCAAGCCAGAGGTCTGTTCCTTTCTTGTTTTTGATCTCGAAGTAGTTGATTCCGTACATTTCCAGGTCCTGTGCGATCTTCAGGTACTCCAGCATGGCACTGTCCCTAATGGAAGGCAAACAGACACCATCGCTGGCGCTCTCCACATCCCAGTTAAACCCCCACCAATCTTTCAGAACTGAGGCCTGTAGGGCAGGATGGGCTGACAACTGTGGGCAGAGCGCAGGCTGGCAAGGCCCGGGCAGCTTGGAAGAAGCGCCTGACAGGGTCCCTGCTGTCCTGGACGCTGACCACGATACACTCCACACTGGAAAAACTGACTCTTGCTTGCTTCCAGGGAAGAGGGATTTTTCTTCTCGATTCTACTGCTAGACAAAATCTTTACCCTTTTCTGGGTGCACCCAGAGCTCTGGGTGGCCCCTGCCCTCCTAACAGCCACCGCTGCAGGCTTTGAGTCGATTTGCCCAACAAAAGACTCTTGGGCCAGACAGAAACCTTGGAGCACAACACCTGTGAGGCTGGGACAATGACAGAGCTGCTGTCGGGCCTGAGCGCAGGGCTCGGGCAGCAGTGCCAGGGCGGGGAATCTGGCCATTTCTTACACTGAACTGCCTTAAAGCCACACACCCCTGCCCCTCCTCACGCTTCACCCACACTTCTCTGACAGCTGCATTTCTACCTGGGATCTGGAGCTCTCGTTTATGCATACTTCTGAGGACAAAGACCTTATCAACAGAGTAAACAGCACCTCTTCAGCAGAGAGATGAAGCACCACGCTCTCTCTGGTTACAGGTGAGCAGTGCTCCCCGTGACTAAGATGAAGTTTTGACAAGATTTTCTCTACCACAAAGAAAGGGAGAGCTTCTAGGACCTGAAGCCTTATCAAACTGCACTCCCCCGGCAAGAACACATGATCTTGATTTAAAAACAAAACAAATCTCCCTCTTCCCCCAGCTGGAGTACTTCACTAGCACCTGGGCCAGGGCTTGGTGAGGCTGACCTCCTTGACAGCGCTGGCTGGAGTCCCTAAGACAAGCTAGGAAGGCCCGGGCGACCCAGAGTTGAGCCGCCGGGCTGGCACTCACTTGAGCATCCCGCGGTGTTCCGCGTGCCACACCTGGATCCGGTCCTCCCACTGGTCCCTGGTGAGTTTGTGCTGGTCCATGACTCTGGGTGGCAGGAGGAGGACACACATACAGTCAGACCCCAACTGTCCTTTCAAACGAAACCATCAACTTGTTTCTGCTTTCCGATGCATGTTGTTTTTATCTTTGAGGATTAACCTGAGCATTTTGAATGAGACAAGCTCAGTCCTGGTGGAAAATTTTTTAAAAAGGTATTTTATTTCAAACGACCTTTTCTTCCCAAAGGGGTAATTTTTATGGCCAATGGTGCCTAAAGACAGACTTAGCAGAGCCCAGATTATTACGTACCAGGAACAGCTAAGCAGGCTGGTCATGAGGTGCCTGACTGCAAGGACCCTCAGGAAGAGTCACTGTCAGATTCCAGGAGGGAGGGGGCTTGCCTTCCCCACTGTGTTCCTGGTATCATCAGGGCCTTCACCTTGATAGTCCCCTGCTTCCTCTCACACCACTACTTCCACCTCCGAAGGACAGGTGGCTGCGCTCAAGCAGGCCAGGCCACCCCCTGCTCACCTTTGAGGGATCAGCCTCTCAGAGCTGAGGTACCCGGACTTGTGCATCTCTTTGTTATAGTCTCCGAACTTGGCCTGCACAGCGTAGGACCCCAGGAGCACCGCTGTCTCAGGAGGACAGTAGATCTCGTCACTGAGAATCCCCTCCTTCACCTGGAGGAAGAACAGCTTCTGGGTGATGTCCTGGATGAGCTCCTCAGACACGTCCTCAGGGTAGAACTTGGCCCGGAACTTGAACTGGAGGGGGTTCTCCTTCCTGACCTCCTGGGCAGACACCTGGAGGACAGAAGCCACATCTCATCATAGACGCAGAAGCCACTTTCGAACATCTTTTTCAAACATTGACTGATGAACAAGGAAGGACTCAAAAGGGGGCCTCTGGCCAGCGACAGTGTTTGTTCTCTAAGTCAACTTTAGTATGAGAAACAAAAAAGTTCAGTCAAGAGTACCAGCGCACACTCACACGCCACTGGAAACCTACTGAGCTGCCATGCTGCTCCCCAAAACCCTCATTCCTAGGGATGATGCTATCAATTCCAAGGACGTAGACCTGCAATCTTGAAATGTGCCCAGGTGCCAATCTGGCCTCGGACCATGGCGCACACCTCCACCCTGGACTTGTTACAGTGACACGGGAGGAGGGACGCTGGGGGAAAGCAGAGTTTTCAAAGAATCTGAAGAAAATACATTTAGCTGATTGTTTCTCTTTAAAATTGTTAGTGGAATTATCCCATCTTTGGAGTTGGCAGATAATCTCTCACAGGTTCAAACAAAGCAACAACAGGTTCTTACAACAGAGTGGGTGATTCATGGTTTCTAAGATTTAACAATCTCACTGGGTGAAAAAAACAAAACTGAGGTCAACTAAAAGCTAGGTAATGAACCATTCCTCTTGCTCCAATAAGGGGCACTGAGGAGGAACACAGGGTCTAATTTCCGATCCACATCCCTGTTTAATGGAAGGCTGCAGCCTTTTTGTCTGTAAAAACTTTTTACACAAATAGAAAGGAACACAAAAACAAAAGACTTCAAGTGCTCCAGCTTTATTGTCAAAGAAGCAGACCAACATCCCCTAACTAGCCTGTAAATAGTTAACCCCGACTTACCTTTTTATCAAGTTTCAACCAGGTAGGAAATCCTTTATTGTCCACATACTGGAGGCCAAAGTACCACACTTCCCGGAGGCCGATGGTCTTAACCACCTGCGAGACAGCAAGCAAGAGGCCTGGTCGTGAGAAACTCCCCTAAACAGGCCACAGTGACCAGCAGTCGTCCACGTGTCCAGTGGTCCCCAAGAAACCAAGGTGCCTGCTTGGTCAAATCCCCTGGCAGTACCTTCTCAAATGACCAGTTGCCCACAGAGTCATTATGCCAAAGCCACGAATGATGTATTTTTAACATAAATCTGACCCGATTAGGGGTTATCTTTAAATTTTTTAAGCGCACACTCTGCCCTTTTGCTCTGCACAGAGCTTCCCGAGTGAACATCACCAGGCTGGGCTGTGGCGAGCACATGCACCGTGGGACCCATGGCCTACCAGGGACAGGTGTGTCCAGGTGTGCTGTCACCACAGAGATTGGGGGGGGGGAGACTAGCACTCTTGAGGACTCCAGAAATGTGAAATTCTGATACAGCTGAGTTAGGACCCCAACCCTAGGTCACAAAGACTTCATATCTAAAAATTCCCTACAACACGAGGAAAAGAAGCCTCCTGAGGCACGTACAGGGAGAGCCCTAGACTGGTGATTCTCACGGGTGTCTTGGAAACAAAAGCAGAGGTAGTCGGGTGTGTTGACCATCATCAAAGGAGTCCTGTGGCTCTGGCATATAATTAAATCCCTTGATATGGTGCTCCACCTTTAGGGAAAATGTTACCATTCTTCAGACACATGGCTTCTATCATGTTTAAAGAGAAAGAGGAGGGAACACCCTCAAAACCACGCATGGGCCCTTGCTTAAAGTAAAACCTGAGATTTCACCTAAAAGCCAGCTCTGCTTCTTCCTCACCCTCAGGGGGCCAGATGCTGTTCATTCAATGCTAACAAGGGCTGACCTCTTCATCCTCTCCCTTGCCCCCAAAACAGGGCAGATGGACTATACTCAAAATTCTTCACCGTGGAACAAAGTGAAGGAGACGCACTTTTCCACACTGCTCCCTGCCAGGTGTCTGCAGCCCCGTGTCTCCTGTGTTATGGCAGATGAGCGCAGAGAGCAAAGACCGGGTCTCCATGCCGTCCTGCTGACTTCTTGTTCCCCACAGACCAGCACCTTATTGGCTGAGGCTGCTTCCAAGTCGCATAAGGAAGCCCTGCAGACGCGGCAGGTGCCTGCTCTCCACCCTGCTTTTCCATTTCACCTTCCCAGCGTGGACCAAAGCAGCTGAAGACAATCTCCTGTCCCCCTGACCATCTCCTGACCACCCTCTCCTGTCCTGTATCAGGCTTGCCACGGACTTTCAGGGCCACAGCTCAGAGTGCCTCCTGCATCTGAGGCCGTCCTGTGCAGCCACGTCAAGACCCCCACTCTCTCGGCTGAAACCAGCCCCTAGCTGCCCCGGCCTACTGCACTTTTTAAAATTCTTTTTTAAAATGTGTTCTTTTTAGATATGCGTGACAGTAGAGTGTATCCTGACATATTTTACATGCACGGAGTATAACTTCCCATTCCTGAGGCTGTACATGACGAGGCGTTACCCTGGTTGTGAATTCATATAGGACCCGGGAAATTTATTTCCTAGTCATTCTACGCTCTTTCCTCTTCCCATCCCCCCTCCCGTCCCTTCATTCCCCTTGTCTAAATCCACAGTACTTCCTTCCCTACGCTCCACCCTCATCCCGTATTGTATGTTAGCACCTGCATGTCTGAGGACATTCGGGCTTTGGTTTTGGGGACTGGCTTATTTCCCGTTGCATGATATTCTCCACTCTATCTGTTTATCGGCAAATGCCATTTTCACCCTTCTTTATGGCTGAGTACTACTGCACTTCTTTATTGGAGGAACCTTCTCTTTTCAGCTTAATGGTCTTCGGTGTCTTTGTTTCAAAGTCCTACCCTACCCCCATGGTTTCCCCAAAATGACAAGTTAGAATTAACCAACCTTACTTTATTCATTGCTTTCTAAAAGCCATCCCATGGGTCCTCCTCACTCGCCTCCCAACCTCACAACTGCTTTCTAGGTCCTTCGCTTCGCCTCATGATAAAAAGACATGTCAACCACGGGTTCGAGCCCTCACCCCCACCTCAGAGGGTTAGTTTGGGAAGGCAAAGGCAGGGATGAGTCTGCTTCACAGACTCTGAGCAACAGCTGGGCCACTCCCCAGCCGTCCGCAGGTGCAGCACCAGCCATCCAGTCCCAGTCTGCCTAGTCGCTGGCCAGCAAACTGGAGCTTTGGGCTGGAGTCCAGCCACTGACCGCCACTCACTGCAGGGCCTAGGCTGAGTGGGATAGGCTGCTGCAGGAGACATGTGGGGACAGGTGGATGGAGAGGACGGAGACCAACTCCCTCCCAGTCTCCCTCACCTGGCTCCATCAAGGCCAGCTTTCACTGACCAGTCTGGCCCATGAACCAGCTTCCCATCCGACCCTTCTCTGTAACCAGGTCTTGTCTTGCCACTTATTCTAGTGTATTCTCTGCTTTAAAAAAAAAACTTATGCTGGAAACCCCACTATTCAGAGGTGAGGACTGGTGCCCAGAAGGTGACCAAGGACATGCTGGCTGCAGGCAGAGCCACCACTGGAAGTCAGGGCACGGCCTAGGGTCAGGTCCTAGGCACCGAGTCACACAGGGTGCAGCTGGATCCACTTGGCTTACTCTGGGATTATCTTCCAGGAGAAGCCTTCAGATTTCTGCCCTAAATCGAGCCTCACCCAGAACAGTAAATTACCTTTATCCTTTTTGGGTGAAGCAGACCTAAGTAGAATCTCAAAACATATGACAATAATCATGGCGACTGACTGTCACCACCCCTACAAAGCCAGCCTGGGCATGCCCTGGCACTAGTGGCTTTATTGCAGGGCCATCCCACACTACCTGGCACTCGCTTACTGGAGATCTGATCAAGCATTGGGAGCCACCTGGAATCTCTAAATGCACCCAATTCTTCCTCCCAGGTTTCCCCGTCACCAGGCCCTCCCATTTCTGAATCTGGTGCTTGAGTGTAGAACACTACTGTGGGCCCTCAGGAAAGCAAGCCTCATGACTCACCTCTGCCCTGGGCCCCCCGGATCCTTGCCCCTGAGCAGAGTCGACTCAGCCCAGAAAAGCTGATCCTGCTCCCAGGGCCTGGACCCTTCCACAGAGAAGCACCACAGCCTCCGGGGAGCTCACCATTCCTGTCAAACTCTGCCATTCCCCTCAGGTTCCCGCAGGTGCAGGAACAGGAGGCACCTGTGCTGTCCCCTCAAGAAAGAGCCTCTGTGACCCGAGGAAGCTCACGGGTGCCGAGGAGTAGCCAGGCCTGCCAGTGACCCAAGCTCTGGCTGGCACAAGGGCACCTCAGGCACTTCCCTCACCACCGCCCAGGGCCACCTGCCCTGTGAAGTCAGGCAGAGGAGCCAAAGGAAGGCAGGGAGGGAGGCCTGGGTTTTCCAAGACCACCCGCGAGGTGAGAGCTACGGGTACCACCCCAGTTCCATCTGAGGGGACAAGTAAAACATGCTGAAACGACTCCTAAACCCCAAATGAGCACCCTGTAGTGTGATCTGCCTACAGGTGGGATCTGCTGTTCAGCGTGCCTGGTTATGAGCCATCACAACACACTACACAATAGGAAGAACGAACAAGGGGCCAAGGGCTAGTGCACCTGGAACCAGCCTAAGGTGTCTGCTAGGCCACAGTGTTCACATCTGCAAAAGGGGGTTTCTAAAGAAATCAGGGACAGCGGGCTGCGGCCTGTGGTCTGCTACTTGTTCAGCTGACCCGTGAGCTTCCTCAGGTCAAGAATGGGTTTCCATTTTGGAAACGGGGGTGGAGAGGCTCACGTGAAAATCCAGGGTGCCTATACAGCTTTATTGGAATACACCACACTCATTCATTCCCAAGTTCATGGCTGCTTTCAATACTACAAGGGCAAGGGTGAACAGTTGACAGCGACTGTGACCGGCAGGCCTATCCGCCTTCTGCAGGGAAAGGGTACTGGCCTGAGACATAAAGCTATGAAAACAATGCCAAATAATGATCTTCTGTCTCACCCTGACGGCGGAAAGACTTAAGCTATTAAGATGAGATTTTATCTGAAGCAGCTACTATACCAGGAAAAACTAAATGTAATGGAAATTAGCATCACTAATAAATATTTAACAGAAATCTCCCAACTTTAAAGGCGTTTTGCAATGCTACTGCAGGCTGGTGTGGCATTTTACCTTCCCGAAGACCTTTCTAACCTATTACTTCAAGTGAGCCAACCGAGGCAATTCACTCAGCAAAAGGATTTGGATGCTGCAAAAAGTCCCTGTCCCCCACTCCCGCCCTCAAACAGTGACTCTCTCAAGAGCAGAGACCGACCTGATCGAAGAGCTGCTTCCCGGTGGTGTTCGGCTGGATGGCGAACTCCAGCTCCGCGTCCATGGTGGTGACCCGCACATTGATCTGGAAAGCAAGATGGAAATAGTGAACCGACTGCACTCTTCTGACAACCGCCAAGGCTCCGTGCAGGTGCACAGCCACTTGGCAGGGCGGCAGCCTCATGTCCCTCTTCCACATCCATTCTCACGCTGGTCACAGAACACGACACAGACCCTGGCTGTGATCCCAGTGTCAGCCAGAGTGCAGAGTCTAGGTTCAAGGGCAAGGTCTCTCTGCTTCCATAAAGCACATCTGCATGTAGGTCTGAGCAGCTCTTCTACAAAACCAGCTAACAGCAGAGTATTTTCCCACGCATCCTCATGACCCTTGCATATGCCAAGGGAGGCAGACAGCGCTCCTGAGGCACCAGGGCTCAGGGGCGAGGTTCACACCACAGCAGCACAGATCGCAGAGGCAGAGTAAAGCCAGAAGGTCTGGGCCACGTTAGAAACCACCTACACACTGAAGAAGGAAATGGTGAGCCAGGCACAGTGGTGCATGCCTGTAATCACAGCAGCTCAGGAGGCTGAGGCAGGAGGATCGTAGGTTCAAAACCAGCCTCAGCAACTCTCAATCATGGTTTTCAGGACACATGTGAGAGGCGCAAACCAGCGGCAAAGTTAAATACTCCAACAAATGTGACTCATTGGTCACGTCCAATGTGACCAGATGCCACATGTTCGACGCCCAGCTACGCCTTCCCTAACCATTCAGAAGCAACTTGGTGAGATCTTGTCTCAAAATAGAAAATAAAAGGGTGGGGATGCTGCTCAGTGCTTAAGTGCCCCTGGGTTCAAATCTCCAGTAGCAAAAAAAGAAAAAGAAAGAAATGCCTGAGACACATCAAACATGGTAGATTTTTAAAATGGCAAATATGAAGATAGGACAATCAGAGAAAGTTGTGTCGAAAATTTAAACGGTGGCAAGCAAAACAGTGCATATGCTATCAATGCAGATGTGAAGTTCACCTGCACAGAAGAGGGCGGTGAGGCGGAGGAGAGGGTAAGACGGTAGGAGGTGGTCCAGGGGACGGGAGGTCGCTGAAATGGATCTCAAGGCAGTTAAAACATTCCTCACCCAGATTTACTAAACTTGTGGAAAACACCAAATCTGGCTACTTTACAACACTACCCACAGGAAAACATCAGAGCCGCACAGCAACGGAAACGCCTCAAGTTACAATATTTGCTTCTCACCCATCCGAGAGATACTGGGTGAAGCCCAGAGCTGGGAGGCACCCCACCTGGCCCCTTCCCAACATGGGGGAACTGCAGAAGGTCAGAGGCAGCTCACAGAGGTCCACGCCTGGTGTCACATGCATTCAGGGCTCGCCAAACACTGCTCCTACTTTAGGGACACTCAGTCTTCATAAAACCATTTCCCCCCGAAAATTCCAGACTCCGATGGCGGAGAGACACCGACACACACGCAGTACGCCACGGAAGCTCGCCGACAGGGACAGAGGGAGGTGCAACTTGCCAGGTTCTATAAAAGGATGATTTCCCAAGTCCACAAATTAAAAGAACTAAAGTTTACAGAAGAGCAAGATGAAAGATGTTTTAAAGTCTTTAATCATATTAAAGTATAAAACCCTAAGTTTCTTTCATTTCTTGCCGATAATAATTTATTTTTTTAAAAAGGCTGTTATGAAGCATAAAATCAGCAAGCATCTCTCTCAATCATGGTTCTCAGGACACATGTGAGAGGCGCAAACCAGCAGCAAAGTTAAATACTCCAACAAACGCGACTCCCAGTCACATCCAATGTGACCAGATGCCATGCATCCGACACCCAGCTACGCCCTCCCTAACCATTCAGAAGTGGAACCCCAGCTCAGCAGACCTACAGCCCCTGCCTGGTCAAGGCAAAAGGGAAAGGGCAGATTTGAGGCAAAGGAGAGAACAGACCAAGTCCTGATCACTCCTAAGATCAAGGACCCTGAGAAAGTGTCATCTCAAAGCAAAGCATATAATCACCATAAAAAAGTGATATCGACTATTTTGCAAATAAATAAAGCATATTAACAGGAATGAATGGGAACTTAAAATGTTCTATTTAAATGTTCTGAATCAGGTTCATATTTGATAAAAGTCCACACAACCCTTTGAAAAGGCAAGTAGAATAAGGAATACTTTTATACTGAGGGTAGCTGTGATGACCCAGCAATGGCCAAGGTGAACTCAGAAATGAAGCCGAGCGGGTCCCTGTAAGTGCACACATCCGCACCTTCACCACGCGACTTCACCCAAGCAGAAGCAGCAGCAGCAGCTCGGGCCATTCTGCCAAGTTTTAGTTGGACAAGTTGTTCCACAAATCCTTTACCTATGTTCCAACATCCACGGGAAACCATGCCATCTGGTACCGAACCCCCAACACAGGTGGCAAGGCTGAGGAGCAACTGGAGGCATTCTGGCATGCAGTACACATAGAGGGGGGAGGAGAGGCTGGGCTCAGAGGCCCACCTGCCTATCGGTGAAGGTTCTGGGTTGAATCCCCAGCAACACACACACACACACACACACACAGTAGGACCAGCACAAGAAGCAAACAGGATTTCCCTCTCCTGCTCAGTTCTGGCCTCAACAAAAGATGACCCTAAGAGCTGGGGTTGTAGCTCAGTGGTAGAGGGCTTGCTTACATGGATTTGATCCTCAGCACCACATAAAAATAAATGAATAAAATAAAGGCATAATGTCCATCTACAACAACAACAAAAAAAAAAGAAGAAGAAGAAGACCTCAGGTCTTATTTGGGCATATACCAGGATTTTTTTCTCACTTTACAAATGTGAGAAAAAAATTACCAAATTGACTTTGATATTTGTACAGATTCATAAACAGCCCAACTCTACAATCTTTACATCAAGGTTGAGATAGGAGTGCTAATGAAATCTAAGTGACAGGTGACCAGCTCTGTGCTAATGGTCAATGACCAAGCTGCTTAAATTAATGGGGGTGTGTGTTGCTTATTGGTTGTGACCCCACCAGTGTTTCCTGCAGAGGGTGTTCCTGGGTTCTGGACAGCACAAGGGATCATCCTGCAGGACCACCCCAGGCACTGCAAAATGCTCCGTGTTCCTGAGCCCATTACTAAGGACAAGTGATCCCGGGAACACCAAAAAGCAGCCCACCCCAGCCCCCCTGACCCCCCCATTCCAAAAGCTTGGTGCAGGCAGGTAGGGGCTCTACTCAGTCTCTGCTCAAACAATCTACAGCATGCTGTGCAGTTCTGTGTTTAGAGAGACCATGAAGATTATTTTCAGTTTTACAGACCTTCAATAATGTGCTGCAACGTGGTATAAACTTTCACCAAAGCATGAAATGAGACATTTACTAGGGTAAGAAGACCATTTCCATATATATTTTGAGGCTTCAAAGAAACCAGGTTTTAGCAATTAGGGAAACATCTAACTCCCAACTCTCTTTCTCAGCGCGGTGTTAGGTTTCCACAGTGAGCTACTGTTCTGAGCGGGCGCAGCGTGCGGGGAGGCAGGCTGGTGCTTTTCAACAGTGCCAAGGAAATCAAGGGGGACTGTGTGGTTCTGATGCATGTGAGGACGGCCTGGCAAGTCCACAGGCCTGAAGAGGCCACCACACAAATCTAATCTGGGCAAAGACCAGGGAGAAGAGTGTCTATCTGCAATTTTTATTGTCTGGGTAATTCCCACTAATCATTCACTTTTGTCAAAAGCCATACTGAAGGCAACACAATCACATGCACAGTATGCAATTAGGCATTTAAAATCTAACCCCCAAAAGGGTGCTATTCATCCACCTTAGGCTTGCCAAAAAACTAAAATCCATACTTTTTATTTTAGGGGGTAGAGGTGATTAAAGTTTAATTTTACTCATATGCCCCCTCCATGCCCGCACAGCCGGTGGGTGATGGTGCAGATGACAATAATTCATATCTTTCTGCCATGTGCTGTGCCACTTGAAGCTAAGACACAAAGTCACATCCAGAGGTCTGAAATGTTAAAACACGCAGGGAACTAGACATACTCACATTCAAATGTTTATAATGGAAATTTATAAATAAATTCAGAGAAGTAGTAATCTAATGATTAAAAATAATTTAAAAAAAATAGCTCTGTACTTTCAGAATTTTAGAATGAGTTTCAGAATAGGATGACTTACCTTGAACACAAACCTGGAAAGCTTGGTACTGCAGAGGCCCGAACCCCTCAAAGGAAGTGAGTAGTGAATATGTGTACATTTTTCACAATAATCATATTTAGAAAAAGAAAAAAAAAAAAAAAAACCCAGCAAAATCTCCCCTCCCATAGCTGCCTAACATAGTAAGTGAAGTTGGTTTTTATTTCAGTTTCTCATCTATTGCCAGAATATCCGTGTTTTAAAGAGAAATGCCTAAAAACAAAAATAGGAATGAACTTTGTTTCTGGGAAAACAAAACAAAACAAAGTTACCCAGTAAAGCTTTTTAAAAACACATTTCTTGAAATGAAAAATGGCCATAGAATTTCACACATATTAGGGCCAAGCCACTGACCTGTACAGTGCATAACACATACATTCATGTGTGAAGATGCTGAACACAAAAACCTGTTTGTCTTAGTTAATGAAGTTAATGAAAACCTAATTACTCCTGACTCTACCAACCTTTTGTTTAGTCCCTCTTCTTTTTAAAACACTGCCTGTTGTTCTAACTCTAGGCTAGCTCAGCTCAGACTACCCACAGAACCTGCTGATGACTAACAGCTTTGCTCCAATGTCCCATAGGCTTGACACTTGCACAAGGCCACCTCCCACGCCCTGGGGCTTGTCAGTCTACAAACACCAACTAAATAGCAGGAGTGTGCAGGCCTCTGTGGGCACTGCTGCCCCACCCAGGAACATCTTACCAATGAACCAGAAGGGAGAGGCCTCAGTGGCTACCATATACTACAGTGGTTCCCAAATCAGACCCCCAGAGCTGCTTTTCAAACACCCCAGTTTCTGGGATACAATTCAGGGATCCGTATTTCTTTTTTGGGGGGTGGTGGTGGTACTGGGCACTCAACCACTG